ATCGGCTTCAGTTAGCAACAGTAGCGAAGGAATCGCTCGATCGGGTTCAGTTAACAGCCATCGATCGATCGATCGGGTTCAGTAACGCGTAGCCTGCAGTGCAATCGCTCGGGTTCAGTTAGAGCCCAACGCCTCGCTCGGGTTCAATTAGAGCCAACGCCTCGCACACACGCGCGTAAGTGTATGAGAGAAACGCGCATCGCTCATCCCCCGACCTCCCACCGTAACCGGGAACTCCCCAAAATTTTCCTCCCCCTCGCTTCTACCATGGTTTTTTCTGTCATGGACGGCCCAAAGAATGTCATGCAGCTGCCTCTCCGGCCCGCCCAGGACGAAAAGCCCATTTTCTGTCATGATATTTTGTCATAGAAGTAGGAGCCCACCACATCTATGATGATACCGGGTTTTGTCACAATTATCGTCATAGAAGTGTCATATGTATGACAGAAAAAAATTCGTTCGGCCCAAAATGTCACGGATGTGTCTTTTTTTTGTAGTGTAGGCCTGGCCTAGACGCCCTTCCCAAGGACACTACCCAAAGATCAACAGCATTCAAAGCACAACAGTTTCCACCGACTGGAATCTCCTCAGAGTGCAACCCACTCGACCAACAATTCCACTCGGATAACCCAATTCCATTCGATAAGTATATCACCATTCGACCAGTATATCACCATTCGACCGTACAAGAAACCACTCTGAATACAGAAGACCTAAAGTCACTCAGGATGGCAACGGCCAGGCGTTCACTCCGTAGTGTTAATGATCATTTATATGTCTTTATTGCTGGCATTACCAGTAACGCCTTACCTTTATGTACATTGAACTCCTTGTAATGTGGGCTGGCTAGGGTCCTGGCGCACTCTATATAAGCCACCCCCTCCACTAAGACAAGGCTTCGCACCCCCTGTAACTTCACGCATAATCTAGTCGACCGCCTCAGGGCATCGAGACGTAGGGCTATTACTTCCTCTGAGAAGGGTCTGAACTCATAAATATTGCGTGCACAACCTCATCGTAGCTAGGATCTTGCCTCCTCCTACGTACCCCCCTTTCTACTGTCAGACTTAGAACCACGACAGGCACCCCAAAGGACAACAAGTCTTCTCTTAGCCGTGTGCGGTGCTCCCCTCCACAGTTACACACCTCGGTCATATCGTCGTAGTGCTTAGGCGAAGCCCTGCACCGGTAACTTCATCATCACCGTCGCCACGCCGTCATGCTGACGGAACTCTCCCTCGTCCTCAACTGGATCAAGAGCTCGAGGGACATCATCGTGCTGAACGTGTGCTGAACACGGAGGTGTCGTACGTTCGGTACTTGGATCAGTTGAATCGTGAAGACGTTCGACTACATCAACCGCGTTACTAAACGCTTCCGCTTTCGGTCTACGAGGGTACGTGGACACACTCTCCCGTCTCGTTGCTATGCATCTCCTAGATAGATCTTGCATGTTCATAGGAATTTTTTTGAAGTACTGCATTCCCCAACATTGCATATGAAAGGATTCTATCAGTCCTGGAGAAACCAGGTAGATTCTTTCACGCAAAAATGGAGTATTGGAATCAAAGTGAATGATGACATAGGTCATTACTTCCAGAGACACAAGGGTCTGAGGCAAGGAGACCCGATGCCACCGATTCTATTCAACATAGTGGTCGACATGTTGACAAACCTAATAGGAAGGGCTATGGATAATGGCAAGGTAGGTGGCCTCGTTCCGCATTTAGTCGACGGAGGAGTGTCTATCCTACGGTACGCTGATGATACTATCATCTTCATGGAGCATGATTTGGCGAAAGCAAGAAACATGAAGCTTGTGTTATGCTTGTTCGAACAATTGTCGGGGTTAAAGATTAACTTCCATAAAAGTGAATTGTTCTGCTTTGGAAGAGCTAAAGACGAACAAGAAGCTTACAAACAATTGTTCGGGTGCGAATTGGGGTCCTTACCCTTCACGTCTTTGGGTATACCAATCCACCATCGCAAGCTTTCCAACAAAGAATGGAAGTGTATTGAGAATCGATTTGGAAAGAAACTAAACTATTGGAAGGGCAAGCTTATGTCATACGGAGGCCGACTAATTCTCATTAATTTGGCACTCACGAGTATGCCTATGATTCTCTTGTTCTTTTTTGAGGTACCAGTTGGAGTTTGGAAAAGGCTAGATTTCTATCGATCGCGCTTCTTCTGACAGAGCGACGAATTAAAACAAAAGTACAGACTCACTAAACAGGATATCATTTGTAGGCCGAAAGACCAAGGGGGTCTCGACATTGAAAATCTAGAGGTGAAGAACAAATGTCTTCTCAGCAAGTGGCTGTATAAGCTATCTGTAGAGACGGATGCCACATGGGCCCAGATTCTGCGTAATAAGTACCTTCAATCCAAAACCTTATCCCAAGTGACGGTCAGGCCGACTGATTCGCCTTTTTGAGGACTGATGAGAGTGGAATCAGTCTTTTTCAACAGGACAAAATTTGTACTTGGAAATGGTACTACCACGAGATTATGGGAGGATACATGGTTAGGGGAGACGCCCCTTGCACTCCAATATCCTTCTCTCTATAATAGTGTTCAGCGAAGAGACGCTTACGTTGCAATAGTATTACAGTCCAATCCTCTTAATATTCAATTCAGGAGGATGTTAGCGGAAACCGTTGGGAAGCTTGGCTCCATCTTGTGAGACGATTGATGGATGTTCACCTATCTCAACAGCCCGATCAGTTGCGCTGGGAACTAACTAAGAATGGCGAGTTTTCGGTTAAATCCATGTATTTGGATGTTATCAACTCTACCTCTATTCCTCGTTCGAAACATGTTTGGAAAGTCAAAGTGTCTTTAAAAATTAAAATGTTTATGTGGTTTGTCCATAAACAAGTCATTCTAACTAAGGACAATTTGGCAAAACGCAATTGGACAGGATCTACAAGGTGTAGCTTCTGTGATCGTGATGAATCCATCAAACACCTCTTTCTTCACTGCCCATTGGCAAAATAATTGTGGCGGTCGGTCCACATAGCATTTAATATCACTCCTCCGAATACTATCAACACGTTATTTGGGACGTGGCTAGATGGGATAGATTCAGAAACAGCAAGACATATCCGTGTAGGAGTATGTGCTTTATTATGGGTTGTTTGGAACTGCAGAAACGATTTGGTTTTTAACAGAATAACACATATTCATTTCTTGCAGGTTATTTTCTGGGCCACCGCATTGATCCGTATGTGGTCGCTACTTACTCCGACGGAGGCCAGGGAGCATATGGTTACTGGATATATCCGATGGGAGACGGTAGCACGGGCTATCTTCAATCGATTTGGATGGCGGTCATGTAATAGGATAGGTGTGTAGTTTCCTATCTTATTTTTTGCCTGCCGGTTGCTATCCTGTTCTTTTGTTTATGTTCTATGTGAGTCATTCTCCTTTTTTGAGACCTGAAGACTATTGTTGAACCTTTTGCTTACCAATAATATGGTTGTATGCATCGTTCTGATGCAGAGGTCGGGGAATAACCTCCTTTTCGGAAAAACAGTGAGGCTCACCAAAACCCTTCTACGATATTTGCATAAATAAATAATGGTTCCTGAAAGTTCCATGATTTTTTCAGTTAAGGCAGACAAACTAAAATTTTAAAATCATATTCGACATTGGTTTGTTTCAAAGATGCTGTCAAGTGGAAGGGGGTGAACAAAACTGATCAGGAATCAGATGTCAGGTTCAAAATTCATGGCCCTTTATCTGCTTTGAGCAAATTTGAAATGCATGCATTAAATGACGGAAGAGAGAGGGGCACGCTGCAGGTTGATTTTGATAGAACTCAAGGTTGTGGTGCAAAAATGATTGAAGGCCTATATCTGAACCAGAAGTTGAAGATCAGACGGTTGACAATACCTTGGTACATCAGAAAACTTTATGGATAGTTCATACTCCCTTTTTTGCTTTATGAATACCTTGGGTTCTTTCTTTCCTTCTTGATAGAAAGAAGGGCCAACTGAGTTATATATAAGATGCCCAGCTTTCTTTCTTTATACTACACAGGTGTTTTTTTTGTTATTAAAATCAGGCATATGTTGTCTAATTCATACTATCTTTTACTCCATCCGTTCCCAAATATAAGTCTTTCTAGAGATTCCAGCAAGTGACTACATGCGGAGCAAAATGAGTGAATCTACACTTTAAAATATGTCTACATGCATCCGTATGTTATAGTCTATTTGAAATGTCTTAAAAGACTTATATTTAGGAACGGAGGGAGTATATGAGTATAATGAAGCACAGATAACAGTCAATCCATACACAAGAAAATTATTCAGGCTAACTGCCACATCAAGGGGACAAATTACCTCTTCACATCATGTTTACAACTGGTTTCAACAACCCAAGCAAGGGATTTGCATATGAACAAGATACATCAGTATCATATACAGGTGATGACTAATTTGGTCTGTGGCCAATCATGACTAATTTGATCAAACCTACCAATTTGATGTATTGTAATTGATCAAACATGTTTACAACATACAAAGAGATCTTTTAGTGTCCGGAGTTTACAAGTGTACACTCTGGTAAGAGTCATCGTCACTGTCTCTCCAGAGAACCTGCTCGTCGATCTTGGAAAGGTTTTCATCATCAAGCAACTTCCAAGTCTGTATCGACTCGACTTCCGTCCATGATCTCTGCCCTTTCTTGAGCTGAGTATAAATTACCCGAGCTCTCCTCGGCCAATGAGGCCTTCCATAGGCATGGTAACCAAAGCCACCGCCATAACAGAACCATATGCCGTTAAGGTTGCCACAGAAATCATTAAGATGATCATGACCAAGAAAGACACCTTTCACATCTCCCATGGAGACGAGGGTGTCAAGGACACCAGAGTTAACTAATGAGCAAGCCACTGCTTCCTGATACTCACCCTTAAAATCTGTGTACCACAGCCCTCGGACTTCTGGATTTGGGATGTGGAAGAATGCTAATGCAGGGGCAGGCAAATTTTGCTGTCAAATAAAGGATATTGTCAAGTACCAGTTGTCAAAAAATATATATTACAAAGAGGAGTAGCCTTTTTTTATTTCAAACAATGCTGGTAAACAACAGAAGTTGCTAATGAGTATGGTGCAAATCCCGTAATGTGAATGTGACATGGGAGATTAGCTCAAAGACTGGTAAAATATGAACAGAACAATAATCCAGCGGATTGATTACAAATATGTTCTTCAACATATAGCAGAAAAAGGCAAGGGGTAATAGACCAACAGACATGACATATTTATACTAGTTGTTAGGATCTCCATCCGCAATGGTGACACATTCCACACTGAGATGTTAGGTGCTGTGATCAAGCTAGTACCTGGAGTTTTTTTGAAGTAGCACTGAGCCAAGCAAGCTGAGATTCTTTTATCCATCCATAAGTTTTAATTCCATCTACTACTTCACGATCCCCACTATCGAGGAAGTAAAGGTTAAGCAGACTAGTATTGACCAACCCCGATCCAAATGGCCCATGTATGCCAACATGATAATTGCCAAACCCATGTACCAGAAAACCAGGAGGGTTTACTTGAGATACTGAGTAATCCATCAAAGACAAGAACATCATCAGTTCCTCTCGCGTCATTGTGGATTCCTGGTCGTGATTTCCTAATATGGCAGCCCATGGTACCTTGTACTCAATAGCAGGGCTAATTGCTCTGAGTAGTGATTCCGCTGCATCAGTTGCACTGCCCCCAAATATGTTATCCCCTGATTCAAAATTAAAGCAGAAGGATTAAATTTTAAGTTGTTCAGCCTTTTCTATGATTAAGAGAACTGGAAACAAGTAAATAATGTAGTAACTCAAAGTGGTACTCCCTCCGTCCCTAAATAGATGGCATATAAACTGAGTCAAAAAAATCAATGCTTTCTATGTTTGACCGGGCATAAATACAAAAATATGAAGATAAACGATACGAAATCAATATCAATATATCCAACATTACATATATATTCGTACCCATAATGTATTTATTCATATGTAGTTATTGATAGTTTCTTCTATTTATTTGGTCAAACTTAGAAATAGTTGACTTTTTAACTGAATGTGTACGCCATCTATTTGGGGACGAAGGGAGTATAATAGAACTTTTCAGAGAGGCGCTGATGGAAGAGAAAAGCAGTGGTTGCGGTTAATAACTACTCCCTCCGTCCCGAATTACTTGTCGCGGAAATGGATGTATTTTAGCAGCTACACCAAGAGATCAAAGACTGTTCAGTAGTCCAAACTCTCCTAACTCAACATGACAGAGAAATAACTGCTGGCTTTTGTTCACGCAGGATGATTCGTACTCTATTAATGCTAAGAGGGGAACGTTGCCCATGTTCATGTTGAATGTTGATCTGGTCCAAATTCTAAAAACAACTTCTTACAGTTTGGTGAGTTTGGTCTCTTTGCACCAATCACCCTACTGATGAAATCATGCATAAATGCCATCATCAGAACCAAGAGGAGCGATGCGTGAATCCCTTGTGTACAAGAGCTAACCCGCCCAGATGTAGTTGTAGAAGCAGGATGTAAGCTTAGTACTCTGACATTAGCTCCATCCAGAGTGTTAAACCCCTAAGCATCAGTGACGATGGGTCCACATTGCTTGCAAAGTAAATCCCCACGGGGTTATACAAATGCCATCAGCAGGTCACGAGAGACAATCCATAACATCCGAGCATCGATGAGCTACAAGTAAATAGGCGATAAGAGTGTAACACATAGTGGAAAATTCCAGCCGCCACCTCCGAAATCTGAACGCAAACAGGAAGTATTCATGAAGTCAACTTACAAGATCCATCAAGCTGGTACTACATAGGGCACTAATTTGTCGTTGCATATCGCTGGTAGAAATGTTACAGGTAAACTAGCTACCTAATCGACTGGATCTAATTCCGTTGCAATGCTTCAAATGGCGAATCTGCAAGAGTCTCAACGGCCAGGGCAGACAGCGTGGGGTGGAGTCGCGATCACTGTAGCTAGGTAACCACCTAGCAGCAGCTGCCTGTGAGTAACAGGGGAAGCGAGGGGAGCAAACCAAAGCACGCACCGGTGAAGGCTATGAGGTCGGGCCTCTCCGCTTCGATGAGCCGGCGCAGGAAGCGCGTGGTGTTGCGGTCGGAGCAGCGCGCGCCGCCGACCTCCGGCGCCACGTCCCGGCAGCGCGTGGCGGCGCCGTTGCCGAAGTGCATGTCCGCCACCTGACAACGCCAGCGAGCAAGCAAGCAGGGGTCAGCGGGCAGCGAGAGGAAATCGGGCGAGCGAGCGAAGGTACGGACCTGGAGGATCTTGAAGGCGCCGTCATGGCGGAAGCGGAGGGGCAGGGGAGGGGACCTCTTGACGCGGGGCACGGCGGCGCCGGGGTCCAGCAGGGCGGAGAAGCGGAGGAGGACGAAGGAGAGGAGGCAGGGGACGAGGAGCGAGAGGAGACCGGACCAGCTCATCGGGCATCCCACTGTCAGTGCCGGACACAGCCCCGCACGACTCGCCGAAGACTCGTCGGTCGGTCAAACGGTCAAGCGGTTAGGCAAGAGCTGTAATGAACATTTACAATACCGAATATATGAAAATACAGGTTCATTATGACGAATCTAATAGCACTGATTTTGTATTGTAACTGTTGATAAATTGTCAATAAACTTTGTGATAAGGTTTACAAAGTTTGACCTTTTTTAAGAAAAATGCGCTATAATTCAGCGAGGAGGGAGAAACTAAGGTCGAAATGATCATCTTCACAAAAATAATATCAAACGATTATTGCACAGCAGTCAAGCACAACAAGCTTACAGATGATGGGAGAATACAGTTGCAGGATTTTCTGATGCTCACAGGCATCACGGGATAGGAAACAATCCATAGCTTCAAGCACTTCCAAGTTCTTAGTAATCTTTAGGATAAAAGAGGGTACTCCTTAGCACAGGGAGAACAATAACAGGAAATCATCTAGCGTTCAGGAAATCAACTCATACATTCGCGATACATCTCTTGAAAGGGCGCTCGGCACACGAAGCCAGGGCTGCAGTGAAAAGGACATGATATGTGGGTAGAATTTGGCCGTATCTGGCGCCTTCTCCAGTTCTTCAGGATCGGCGCTTGTCGCCGTGCTTCTTGCTCTTCTTCCGGCTGCCTTTGCCGTCAGAATCGGAATCAGACTCGGACTCAGATTCAGATCCAGAGGAGGAGGACGACGTGCTATCCCTACGGTGCCTTCTCTTCTTCTGCGTCGTCTTGCGTCGGCGCTTCTTCTTGTCCTCCGAGTCTGAGGAGCTGTAGCTTGAGCTGCCGCTCTCGGAAGAGTACTCGGAGCCGCTCCCCGATGATTCAGAGTCTGAGTCTGAGTCAGACACCGACGCGCGATGTTTCCTCTTGCTCTTTGACTTGCTCCTTGCCTTCCTTTTCTCAGACTTTTCCTTCTTCAGCTTTTCTCGCATCAGCTTCCTTTCCTCCTCCATCTCCTTCTCCAGATCAGGGTTCACAAACTGAGAGGGCGCCGGCAGCCACGCCTTCTTCAACCTGGGGTCCTTAAGCTGATCCGTCCTTGAGGGCCGCGATATGTAGACCCGTTCATTCTTGCACTCGTATGTCCAGTGCCCAGGCTGGAAGCACTTCTGACATTGGCCCTCAGCAGTTGCAGAAGCTGGTGCAGCATTTGGCCTCACACCCAGCCTCACAGCCTTCTCTGTACTCATCAGATACATCTGCCTCTTGGCTTCCTTCCTCTCCTGCCAGCGACTTGGTCCCTCTTCCTTCTGCCCATAGGCATTGACATTGCGAGCGGCAGCTTCCGCTGCACGTTCAGCTTGAGCCCTGCTCAATCCCTTTGCATTTGATAAGGCCTGTGCCTTTATTCTGTCGGCTGCAGCCTGAGAATCATTTCCAGACATCTTGATACACCCACGAAGAAAAGGTTATACAAGACCAGCAAATCTGAAAATTCTGCAAGGAAAACAAACTCCATCGGTTAGTAGTGAAGTGATGAGGCCATGACTTATCTCAAATTCACACAGGCAATCATGCAGAGACACAAATTCAGGCCTTTCACGCTATTCATTTACTGCATACAACAACAACAACAACAAAGCCTTTAGTCCCAAACAAATTCATTTACTGCATAACCTAAGGAATTTCGTCACTTGGTAGGACAAGAAAATGCACACACACAGCGCTAACAAGATCTACAAAAAGACTCTGTTATAGAACTGCAACCAGTACTGATTAAAATTAACCAAGTCAACAAATCAAACACCAATAGGGTATGCATATCACAAATAAACCTCTCACACATATGAACTGAACAATCATAGTTCAGATTTATTTTCTTGCAACAAAGTAAATAAATATATATTCTACTAGGGTGCAAATTACATGACATCGGAACCTTCTAGCTAACACATTCAGAGCTACATCCAAGAAGAAACGGTTATACAGGACCAGTGATCTCAATATCCTGGAAGGAAACAAACTATATATTGGTTACTACTAGCGTGACGAGGTCATCATCTTTCAGCTAAAGTAGACATAAACATTTGTCTGGCTAGCTAAAATTCACACAGGCAGTCATGAAACAAACACATTCAGACCATTTCGTTTACTGCAACGTTAACCTAAGGAACTTCGTCACTTGGGAGGGCAAGAAAACCACACTCATGGCGCTAACAAAATCTAAATAGAGACTCTGTTATAGAATAGCAACAAGTACTGCTTAAACATTAAACAAATCAACACCATCAGACACCAATATGTATGCATATCACAAAACACAAATAAACTTTGACGCATATGAACTGAGCAATAATAACAGAGATTTTTCTTCTTACAACTAAGTAAGTAAATAGATACTCTACTAAGAAGTGCAAATTACACGATACCAGAACCTTAAAATGTCATGTCAAACTAAATACAGTGGCAACTCAAAACTACCCATTAGCCAACAAGCTCATTCGTAGTTATATATACCAAAAGCAACACTTCTGCTTCAAAGGCCCTTCCATGCACATAACCTCAAACAGAACAGCCCATCTGCGTCACGACTCTACACAAACATAAGGACACAACCAAACAACAGACATCTATTTGGGTACATGTAAACAATAACCAGGGGCGGATCTGTACGGCGCACACCAGCCCAAGCGAAATTGGCGGAGGTCAGCGAGCTTTAATCCAACTAAGCACCGGATACCGGAGAACCAACCATACCTCGAAGACCAACGGCGGAGTCGCGGACGGAGCAGAGCGGGGGCAGGGTCGCGACTGCGCGGCGAGGTAGGACGGGAACGTCTACGGCGGCGGCGACGCGCGGCAGAGGCGAGGGGCTCGTCCGGGGGGTGGGGGAGGCGTCGGCGGCGAGGCCGCGGCAGCGCTAGGGCACGACGATGGAAGGAGGGGCGATTTTGTTTTGGAGCCGCGGCTCGGGTCGGGTTGGGGATTTTTAGGAGTCGGCGGACGGGGGAGGGAAGAAAGATACGGAGACGGTGAAGGAGAGAAAAGTCTACCGCGATCTGACGGTGGATCTAGGGTGTGTGTATTTTTATTTTTTATTTTTGCGGGGTGTATTTGAAATCGAAAAGAAAAACAAACAAATGTGGCGATATCTTCGAATATCCATTCTGAATCCGGGCTCATCTGCATCCGATTAAAAAAAAATTCAAAAATAACACTACATAAATTTAAAAAATCGAAAAAAATTGTGTGGAAAATGATTTGGTGCGTGAGTTCCGCTCTAAATTTCAGATCATTTGAAGATATGAGTACGTCTCCGAAAAAAAATGGATCAAAACAGTAGATGAATATTAAGCTGTTTCACGGATCCCAAATTTGCCTTTTTCATCGAGAGCTACTCATATATTCAAATAAGCTTAAATTTGCAGTGGACCTCACGCTCATAAGCATCTTCCATGCCAAAAAAAGGATTTTTTTTTAATTTTTCTAATATTTTTTTCTAGATTTACTGTTTGCCGTAGGAACATATGAATTCAGGAGCCGAATAGCCGCACTCCGATATCTTCTCTTACTCTACTGTAAACTAAATTATTTGGACTTCAATATAAATATGACATCAGATTTGTAGGGCTAAAATTCTTACGCGCTCAAATAAGTCGGATCATGATTAAACCAATGACAATTAATCGTTGCACGCCTCTACCATGACAATTTTTTTATTGATTTTTTATGCTATATGGTAATTTTCATTGTAAGAACATGACAAATTTTATACACATGCATGGCAATTTTATCTCTTCGCATGGCAAATCTGTATTTAATTTCTAGCGTCTAGAATGTGAAGTCAGATTTTTAACATTTCTGAATTAGTTTCCAGAGTTTGTAATCTTATTTTCAAAGAACTTTGCAATGCTTTTTTTCAGGAAAAACTTTCGATCTATTCATATTCAATCATGTTAATATAACAACACTAGAAATAATAAACATTATATCCAGATTCGTAAACCACCTAGCGACGACTACAAGCACTGAAGCGAGCCGAAGGCGCGCCGCTGCCATCGGCCCTCCCTCGCCGGAGCCAAGCACAACATGTTGTAGTAGACGGTTAAGAAGTCATCATGCTAAGGCCCCATAGGGCCAACGCACGAGAACAGCAATCGTCGCCGATAAAGACTGGCCTAGATCGGAAGGATCCAACCTGAAAACACATGAACATAGACGAACGACGACCAGATCCGAGCAAATCCACCAAAGATAGATCCACCAGAGACACGCCTCCACACGCCCACCGATAATGCTAGACGCACCACCAGAATGGGGACTAGGCGCGGAGACCTTTATTCTATCTTCAGAGAGCCGCGACGTCTCTCCTTCCTAAGCAGAACACAAACACTAACAAAACTCGAAGAAAGATCTAAAAATGGAGTCCTCCCACCAGCAAGGACCGGGATCCACTCTGCCCCCATGGCCCTAAGGCCATCGGAGACGAGGCGGACTGGCGATGGCGCCGGCAGGAGGCGGGGAACCCTAGCTTTTTGGGAGGCGGCGTCTACAGCGTGCGTATACTCCCCCTTCACTTTTCCACCCGTGGGTACATAATAAAAAGATGCACAAAAGTGTTGGGGAACGCAGTATTTCAAAAAAATTCCTATGATCACACAAGATCTATCTAGGGATGCATAGCAACGAGAGGGGAGAGTGTGTCTACATACCCTCGTAGACCGAAAGCGGAAGCGTTGAATAACGCGGTTGATGTAGTCGAACCTCTTCGCGATCCAACCGATCAAGTACCGAACGCACGACACCTCCGCGAGCTGCACACGTTCAGCTCGATGACGTCCCTCGAACTCTTGATCCAGCTGAGGCCGAGGGAGAGTTTCGTCAGCATGACGGCGTGTTGCGGTGATGATGAAGTTATCGATGCAGGGCTTCGCCTAAGCACTACGACAATATGACCGAGGTGGAAATCTGTGGAGGGGGGCACCGCACACGGCTAAGAAATCAACTTGTGTGTCTATGGGTGCCCCCTCCCCCGTATATAAAGGAGTGGAGGAGGGGGCCGGCCGTCCTCATAGGGCGCGCCCCAAGGGGGGAATCCTACTCCTACTAGGAGTAGGTTCCCCCTTTCCTAGTCCAACTAGGAGGGGAAGGAAAGGGAAGAGGGGGAAGAAGGAAAGGGAGGCCGGCCCCCTCCCCAATTCGGATTGGGCTTGGGGGGCGCACCCCTCCTCTTGGCCGCCTCCTCCTCTCTTCCACTAAAGCCCATGAAGGCCCATTAAACCCCTAGGGGTTCCGGTAACCCCCCGGTACTCCGGAAAATGCCTGAACTTATCTGAAACCTTTCCGGTGTCTAAACATAACCTTCCAATATATCAATCTTTATGTCTCGACCATTTCGAGACTCCTCTTCATGTCTGTGATCACATCCGGGACTCCAAACAACCTTCGGTACATCAAATCACATAACTCATAATACATATCGTCATCGAACGTTAAGCGTGCGGATCCTACGGGTTCGAGAACTATGTAGACATGACCGAGATTCATCTCCGCTCAATAACCAATAGCGGAACCTGGATGCTCATATTGGTTCCTACATATTCTATGAAGATCTTTACCGGTCAAACCGCATAACAATATACGTTGTTCCCTTTGTCATCGGTATATTACTTGCCCGAGATTCGATCGTCGGTATCATCATACCTAGTTCAATCTCGTTACCGGCAAGTCTCTTTACTCATTCTGTAATGCATCATCCCGCAACTAACTCATTAGTTACATTGCTTGCAAGGCTTATAGTGATGTGCATTACCGAGAGGGCCCAGAGATACCTCTCCGACAATCGGAGTGACAAATCGTAATCTCGATCTATGCCAACTCAACAAACACCATCGAAGACACCTGTAGAGCATCTTTATAATCACCAAGTTATGTTGTGATGTTTGATAGCACACTAAGTGTTCCTCCAGTATTCGGGAATTGCATAATCTCATAGTCATAGGAACATGTATAAGTTATGTGATACGTCTCCAACGTATCTATAATTTTTTATTGTTCCATGCTATTATATTATCTGTTTTGGATGTTAATGGGATTATTTATACACTTTTCTATTTGGGACTAACCTACTAACACAAGGCCCAGTGCAAATTGTTGTTTTTTTGCCTATTTCAGTGTTTCGCGGAAAAGGAATATCAAACGGAATGAAACCTTCGGGAGAGTTATTTTTGGAACAAACATGATCCAGGGGACTTGGAGTGGACGTCAAGAAATCAACGAGGAGGCCACGAGGCAGGGAGGCGTGCCTGCCCCCCTGGGCATGCCCCCCACCCTCGTGGGCCCCTCGTATCTCCACCGACCTACTTCTTCCTCCTATATATACCCATATACCCCGAAAACAACCAGGAGCACCACGAAACCCTATTTCCATTGCCGCAACCTTCTG